GAAAATACTAACACCTGCCTGCGGCACTCTGAGTTTAATTTCTGTGGATGAAATGAGCCCCAGGTGATTCTAACTTGCAGGAGGGCTGAGAACCACTGGTTGGAAAGCAATCCAAACAGGTTAAAATTATGTAAAGAAGAAGGCACTATAATTGGGCTAAATAAATTTACATTAGGAGACAAGGAGCCTCAAATTTCAGATAAAAGATGGTGCTTTAAGGATCCCAGATTTTTTCCCCCGCAAATTTAGATACTCAATTGCATGGGAGAAATATATCCATTTACCCTTAATAGTCAAGTTTTTACAAAGGACTGAAGAAGTTCCAGACCTTATATGAGAGACAGAAAAAAAAACAGTAGAATTAAAGGTAATCTATTCCACCTAGTATGCAAACCCTGATAAACAAGGAAGCAGAGCAGGGTGCATAAAGTTGTGATTTTTATTAATAACCATAAGAGTAAAATCAAAGCTACCATTATTGAGTGCCAGTTACTGTGTTATGTGCTTTCCAGTGAAGATTACCTCACTGAAAACTTAAAACATTGCTCTACAATAGGAATTATTACCCCTGTTTCACAGATAATTTAAAAAATTGAGGCTCAGAGAGATTAGGACACTTTTCCCAGAGTCGCACAGCAAGGAAGTGGTAGAACCAAGGTTAGAATCCAGGTCTTTGGCTATCTAGAGTCCATTCTCAGCTAGAACACTCAAGAGCTTCCTAAGGACTTGCTACTCATAGTCCATGGACCAGGAGCAGCAGCCAGAAATACTGACCTCTGGCCCATTCCAGATCAGCTGAGTCAGAATCTGCATTTTTAGAGCAGCGGGAGATTCGTATCCTATGTACGTTAAAGTGAAAGAAGCACAGGCCAACCTGGTTTTCCCACATCAACCATCACCTCACAAACTCATCATCCAGACTTCATCCACACTTTTTTAAAAACAAATCCAATCATTTCATTTCCTCACTTAAGACCATCAAATGGTTTCCCAAATGCCATTGGAAGTAAGTCCAAAATTCTTTTACAAATACAGGTAACCGGATTCTGCATAATATCACCCATGCCTGCCTCTGCAGTTCTCACCTCCCCCATCCGCTGATTTTTGTACTCCAGACACAGAGACCTTCTTTCTGCCCACCGAAGCCCAATATTCCCTCCTTTTCCCTCCCTCCCTCCTTTCCTTCCTTCCTTCCTTCCTCCCTTCCTTCCTCTAAGCTCTCCCCAACCTAGAATATACTCTGACCCACCAGCATGACCCACTCCAAGCCAGTCACATTTACTGCTGTATCTCATGTACATAATGATGCAGTGCCTGAAACAGAGCTAGAAGCAGGATAACTGAGCTGAATAATATGTGTTTAGGATACTGAGGGCCTCCGCTGTTTCCTTCATCCATCTGCAGCTTGCTCTTAGGATCCTCATTCCCATTTCTCCTTCCCTGTCCCCTGCATCCCCCTCTTCTTTCTAACTCACCTCCTTATCAGTAACCTCATGCCTACTGAAGCTGTCATCTGTAGAAAGGAGCACTGCCCTATCCACTCGGCCACGGCCCCGGGATTACTCACCAGCTGGATGACAACTGCTCCGCTTTAACCCGAGGCTCCTGAGATAGGCCCAATACTTTCTAGAAATGGACAGAAGGCCCCAGACAGAAGCAGGCTGCTTTTCAATCCAAGACTTAATATATAGATGGAACCATAGATCAGGGGCCTCTCAACAGGCTGTGCAGAGCCGAAGGCTTCACTGTCTCTGCCCACACAAGAGAACATCACCGTGCTGACAAGAAGGGTTATCGAGAGCTGTGGGTAACTTCATATTTTAAATGTGATGGCCAAGTTTACTATTCTAAGAAAACAAATGGCAAATCCTTTTATAAAATAGATATCTGACTCAAGTTTAAATTTTGAGTAAATCTGATATATTTTCCTATATCAAGTTTACATTAATAAAAAAAGCTACTACTCTTCATCTACTGAACACAAGCTATTGAGTGCCTGACAACAAGCTCAGAGCTTTAAACACAGTATCTTATTTAATCTTTATCCCACTTTATGAGGTAGAAATGCTTATTATCCTTATTTTATAGAAGAAGAAACCAAAGGCTAAGTAACCTGCCTAAAGAGGCTCGGCTGAGATTTAAATCATAGGCCTCCAGCCTACAACTCTCTCTTGCTTCTCTGCTGTTTCACTATTTGGATTGCTTTCTCATCTGAGAAGTCACAGACATTGACATTCCCACAGAAACAGCCCCTTGGAGGATGCTCTCAAAGGCTGAGATTTTTCTTTGCAATGTAGACATTAAAAAGAAAGTAACCTGCTACATCTTATATTTCAAAGCTGCATTTCTACCTTAAAAGAGAAAACTAAGATTCAAGAAAAAGATGTGGAGGGGCAGCCGGTTAGCTCAGCTGGTTAGAGCGCAGTGCTCATAACACCAAGATTGCAGGTTCGATCCCCACATGGGCCACTGAGTTGTGCCCTCCACAACTATACTGAAACAACTGCTTGACTTGGATGGGTCCTGGAAAAACACACTGTTCCCCAATAAAAAAATGTTTTAAAGAAAAGAAAAAGATGTGAGAACAGAGCTCAGAGGTGCCTACGAATGCAATTCCACAGATATTTTTTCAGTGTCTAGCAGTGGTCAGGCACTGTGCTGGAAGCTGAATGGTCAGCCTGTCAGTTGGGAGGGTGCTGAGGTCAGGGGTCCTGGGGAGAGGGGTGTGAATAGGGGGTGATGGGAAGACTGTCTCCCATAGTGTTTGTCTCAGGAATGTTTAGTCAGTAATTTACAAAGATGTAACTTTATTATCTAATTATGTAGAAATTATTTTTCACACACAGTGAGAGTTGCCTGCTTTATTATCTGCAAATACATCATTAAAAGGGCCAATGTATCGTCTACAACAAAAGTTTTGTATAATGTAAAGATCTCATGTGGTCATTTCTGATACCCTATACTAGAGGGTTAGATTTTAATGTATGTTATATTTTGTTCTCAAGTGTCTGAAAGAACAAAACAGAAAGGAGTACTGGAAGCTAAAGCAAGACTAATTTCAAAAATTGGAGTATATTGAATCTGCATGTCCATACAAATAGATAGGGGCACGGAAACATTTCCCAAAGCATTCTATGAAACATTTATATGAAAAAGGCACAGATAAGGACCAAGTAAAGGAAATCATGAACCTAAAAGGTCCCATACAGTACTATGAGGCCTCCAGAGTCCTGCCTCCTTGCAGAAACAGGATGCTTTTGACACAAGGGCATGAGATGAAGACCATGGACCACTTTGGACCTCATTTATAAAATGAGAGTTAAATTAGATGATTTATAAGGTCCTTCCAGCCCTAACCTATCAGCTACTTTTCATCCAGGAGGCCCCTGCACCTAAAGAGAGGTGAGCATATAAAGGTGCTCAAACTCGTTGAATTACTGAAACATTGCAACTTTAACAATAATAAGAAAAGAGACTTCACAACAGTTGGTCCTGGTCTGTATCATAGAAAGAACAAATCTGGGGAGAAACCATTATCTAAACAGCTTGACATCTGGTGCTCCTGTAGCTGACTGCTAGTAGAATGAAAATACCCCTGGACTTGGAAATAACACATCTGGGTCTAGTCTCATCTCTGACAAACCAACTGTGTGACCTTGGGCAAACTGCTTTACCACCTGGGCCAGTTTCCTCATCTCTAGAATAAAGGTATTATAAAGCTATATGTAACTAACATTTGTGGAACCTTTACTATATGCCAAGAACCATTTCAAGATCTTCGCTTAGATTTAAATGATCTCGAAGGTCTTTGCTGCTCTAACATTTAGTGTCTAACTACAGAGGAAACATGGTATAATGGAAAGATTCCAAACTCTGTACACAGAAAGGTTGGGCTTCCTCTCATCCTGTAAGGTAAGGTCTTTTTCTAAACAGAGACTGTCAAGCCAACTTTCTATTCAGTAGCTGAGTTAAGTTGGACATGTTGATTAACTTTCCTAGCCTTAGTTTTCTAACAGATAAAATGTATATGAAGATGGTTCTCTCTGTCATATAGCTTTTGAGAGATTATATTAAACTATAATGACTAAAGTAATATATACCATATTTCCCTATGTATAAGACGCACCGTTTTTCAAAACATTTGGGGTCTAAAAACTAGGTGCATCTTATACAGTGGTTGTAGAATGTTTTACTTGCATTTCCCACTTTTTTGCGCTTGTTGTCTTTGCGCTCATTGTTACGCACTTGTTACCGGTGTATTACGGTAGGTTACGTTTTGCCACGTTCTGCCCAGAAATGGCTCAGAAGAGAGGTTTGTACAGTGCTGAATTCAAGTTAAAAGTGATCCAGTTTGCAAAAGTGAATGGAAATCGTGCTGCTAAACGTAAGTTTGGTCCTCCTCCAACTGAGAAAACAATCCGAGACTGGCTATGGGACAAAGAAACCCTACTGAAAACACCACAGCAGAAGAAGGCCATGAGAGGCAATATATGAAGACAGTGATTCGTCATCAGACATAGATGAGGACAATCTAATGGTTGGGAGTTTTGACAGTGATGAGGAGTTGTATGAATTTTATAATGAATAAAACTTGAGTTCCATAACTTTATGTAATACATTTTTTTTCAAATTTTGGGCTCCAAAGTTAAGGTGCGTCTTATACATGGGAGCGTCTTATACATGGGAGCGTCTTATACATGGGGGAATACTGTACTTATTTGTTAAACACATTACATTTTATTACAAGGTGTAAGACCATAGATAAAGCACCATCTCAAGTTTTTTTCCTCATCTACAAATGGGAGACACAAGGTTATTAAAAGAGATAATGTGAACATGCTCTGTAAACTGTCATCTGTTAGCTAAGTTTGAAAGCACACATAATTCCTAATACTTGGAAAAGCATATACAATAATCCCCTATCTAGTACTTGGAACAGCATATACAATCAATGACAACAACAACAAAAGACATATTTTCTAAACATATATCTCTAGTACCAGCTCACAGCAGATTGATGCAAAGGCTGGCAGCCAAGAACACAGGACCACAAGAAAGTTGTATTTCCGAATCAAGGGGCTGCTCCACAAAATCGCTTATGGTGAAACTTCATCTCCCAGGAGACACCACGTCGCATAAAATGGCACGCTGGGAGGTGGAGTACTAGCATTCCCGGAAACAAGCAGGACTCAAACTCCCAGAAGCCTCCGCTGTCCAGGTCGCGGGGCCTTAAGACGACGCCAGAAAGGAAGAGTTCAGGTACACCCGTCATAACAGGTGCGCGTCAGGGCAGCCCTATGTAGTCCCGGACCCAACCCAGGTCACAGCCTTTCTGAAACAACTGTTGGGTGTATTTTCTGCTGCTCCCCAGCACATTTCTGAGAGATCGAGAATAATAAAGCAGTAAGTTTGCAAGTGGCAAACTTTCACAAGCAAGACCTCATTTGATTTCGGCTCCAGGCAGCACGCTTGGGCACTTGGGCAACGAGATTTAAGCTCTTTTTCCCCACCTTAAGTACTGTGAGTGGCTGGTCCAAGGTCATACAACAGACGCAAGATTTGATCCTAGAGAGGAAGCTGCAAATCCAGCTCCAGTTGCACTAACCAGCCTCCTTCCTCTCCAGCGTCCCGCCCCTAACACCCTCCCCTGCTGCCACCCCCGTGGCTATACCTTTAAAAGCCTCGCTTATTTTCATATAAAAACATTAAGTCATAAAATAGGTGTAAAGAGGTCCAACAGAGTACTGATGAGTTCTCCCACCATAACGAATTCAATACTTGTTTGTGTTGTTAAAATATTAAGTGTAAACGTATCTCCCCAGACACAGCCTTCTGTGTCCTGCTTGGTTCCAGTCCTGCGCACGTGTTCGACCCCACCCTCCCTTTGGGGAGCCCAGCGGGGTGTTTAACACTGCTCTCTTAGGGCAGAGATTCCTGCCACTTGCCTATGAAACTGCCAAACCATCCAAAAGCGGTCAGTGCCAATTACACCGGGAGTTAAGGCGTCCTTGGAACCGCTGGGGTGGCCCCATGCCTCAGTTTACCCACTTACAAAATGCAGTGGAGAGAAGGGGCGGGTTAGGGTTTGGGCCGGTGCTCAGGAACTGGCCCTGAAAAGGTTCGGGAGATAGCGGGGTGAGGGTCCTTCTGACAGACCCCCACCTCCCAACGTGCTGCTAACAGGGTAATGATCAGACACGCGTGGAACCCAGACCCGCGCCCGAAACACTATTCGACTTGTGCTTGCCCCCGCCCCTACCTTCCAAGATCTTGGCAGCTGGGAAGTGAAAGGCAGAGGGAGGTTAGCGCGGGGCAGAACCAGCGCCTTGGGCGTGTGCCCACGGGGGAGGCTGCCTGAGGGACCCGCGAACAGAGGGCAAAAAGTGTCGCGACTGGACGGAGCGGAGCAGGGACTACAATTCCCAGACGGGCCGTGGCCGGGGCGGGACACAAGATGGTCGCTCGTCTGGGGACAGGCGCGGGAGCCAATAGACGCAGAACATGCGCCTACACCGGGCCAATCAGAAGCCATAGTGACAGTAACCTTGTTCAGGGACGGAAAACACTGTCCTCAGGAGAGAAGCTGAGGCGAGGATCCTGCTGGAACGAGATTTTTGTCATAAATCCCACAATCTTTGTTTTTTACAAGTTGAAAAAGTTACAGTTGTTAAGGGTATGCTGCATTTTTGTTTGCTTCTTTCCTCCCCAACCAAACCTTCCTTTCTTTATGTTTCTCTCATAACATGGGCTCTTAGGCACTTACTTGATTCGGTTTACAGCTACACTGAGCCTTCCCTTACATTCTAACTAAAATTGTACCACAGGCTCCCTTTCCTTCCTTTCTCTCTCCCCCCACCTTCTTTTGTGCTATTTTTCTCCTTAGTACTGTCATTACCAAGCATTGTCTATAATTTATCTTTTTTCTATCTTCTTGACCACTAGAATGAAAGATCAATGCAGATGCAGGGTTTTGTTCTGGTCATTGCAATAGTTCTAGCACCTAGAAGTATACAGAGGATGCGAAAAAAATGTATGTGCATTTTAAGAAAGGAAAACTGTATTAAAATTGTAATAATATACACTGATAACAAAATATGACTACAAGCCATGTTTGACTTCTGCAATTACAAGAGGTGCTCAGAGTGGTTACCATCAGTGTCCAGACACTTCTGATTATGGCGAACTACCACTTAAGCAACGTTGCACATTTTTTGGCATCTCCGATATATATTATATAATATATATACAGATTATACTATCTAGTATATATAGTAGACACTCAGTAAATATATTTTGAATAATTGAATGAATTGTTCTGTATTCTGTCTTCAGTGCAGATCAATTAAATCCATCTCTGATCACCCTGAGGCCCTTTGGCTTGCTCCCTTTTTAAATTCAAAACCATTCTCTCAATATATTCTGCGCCAGATGCCATGTGCATGCTGGAGAAATCATTGAAACAGACCCAATCCCTAACCTCAAGATGCACCTGGTCTAGTGGAGTATGAGAGGTAAACTTAATTATGCAATAAATGAATTGAAAATTGCAGAGCAGCTAAATAATTTCACAGAATCATACAGCTCACCAGCAGGGACTAGAATCCTGGCCTTCACTCTTGCTGTTGTACCATGCTGCTTCTTACCATGACCTCTCTTCTTCAACATTGCCTCCTTCCTTTTCTTCCCTTCCCCCTCAATCCTGGTACCAAGGAAGAGGAGGTATTTGCCAGTCATATTTTACATTTAAAGGGAGAAACAAAGAGCTTTGACAAACACCGAGATATGTCCCTAGTTTCCCTGGCACCATTTCTTTCTCTCTTTCTTTCTTCTCACTTTTTTCTTTGGTTTGCTTCATTACATGCAAGTGATTACATCAAGTCCTAGGTCTCTCACCCTTTCTGATGTATGAACACCACAGAGTGTAGCAAGGTGTCCTGCAAAGTGTCCTGGTATAAAATGCTGCTGTCCTAGGAAGCTTGACTCGGAGAATGTGACAGTGAATTATGGTCAGTTTACAGGTCACACAGACACTATGACCACATATAATGTAACAGAATTGTGAATAGGAAGAATTGGAAACAATTACAGATAAAACAGCAGAAATGTGATCAATATATGTACAGACCAATTTTGTGCAGAGGGATTAAAACCCTTGTTCAGGCTTCCTGCCCTAATCTTCTGTCATTTTTGGGTTGTTTCTTATAATACAACAGTTCTTTCTAGCTGTTATGAACACACACTCAGCTCAGTAGTCCCAGCTATTTTCAAGCTGATCGGAGTGAGAGTTTTCAACACATGTGTCAACAGCCAGACTAATTGCAGATGTAATCACTAAGCCATGTGAAACTGAAAAGCTCAACAACTAGACTCTCCTCCTGAGAAAGTATCAGCCTATAATCATTACTTCTTCTACTTAGCAATCAAAAAGCAAATGTCATGAACATACTCAGAATCTAAACAGTGTCATGTAGTGATTATTAAACCATTGTCAAAAACCCTGGTATGATCATATAGGTGTTACTTCAGCTGTGGATGGTGCTGTCTGCTGGGATAAAGGTCAGCCATGACCTTCAGCAATACATACATTCAAAAAGATCATCAAGACATGCACTTGCCTTAGACTTAGGACATCCAAGTGCCAAGACTCTGGGGAGGAAACTGTCTGATCTGCAATTTGATTAATAATCACCTAAAGACAGTATCTTAGTTTGAGTTCTCCTAGAAGTATATCCTGAGACAGGTATTCAAATGCAAGTAGTTTATTTGGGAGGTAATTGCAGGAAACACCAGTAGGAGAATAAGAAAGTGAAATAGGGAAGGGACAACAAAAGAGGTGCCTTATCAAGCATGTTACTACAAGGGGTGATTGGAGCTTAATCCCCCTGGGGAACCTTAGGAAATAATATGGAACACATGCCTTAGACTAACCTATCCTACCAAAGGGACAAAAGAACTGGGTGGTCTAAACATCAACTCCCATCAGTCAATGTTTGGGGGCTGCTTTCAGAGGCTGTTATGTCCCTGGCTCTTCAGGCATGTTGTATGAGGGGGCAGAGCTGCCTCAGTGGCCAGAGATAACAGATGCAGCCATTGAAAGTCAGGCTAGTGTGCACTGAACTAGTAAGGGAATGGAGGGTACGGGCCTGACACCATTAGTATCTGCTACAGGCTTTGGTTCACCACAAGCTCATGTCACTAGACTAGGAGAATAAGAATGATTCAAAAATTAAATAAATACATGCAAAAAACTAAGCAGCCTACCACCTTATATACCTCATTATGTGAACAATTAGAATAGACAGTAATTTCTAAATCCTCACTAAGACACACAAAACAAACTACAACAACAAAAGCTTCTTTTATACTGGCAAATATTAACTCTTTGGGGACTTAAGAAGAGGCTTCAGTGAGACTGGGGTTTGGTAGAGAGAAGAGCAAGGAGATCAAGAGAAGGGGAAAAGAGAATTTAAAAAACATTCCTGGAGACAATACATTGTTTGTTTCATGATATTGAAGAAACACAAAGACCTTGGGATTTTTGAGAAATTAAAATAAAGTGCACAGACTGTGGTCTTTAGATCTAGAAGACAGTTTTGCAAAGGACCTCTGTGGATTGTGTCATTATAGCACTTCTTCATAGCAAATAGCTTTTCTTGAAATTACAGTCACCATTTATTTATTTTTCTATCAACTGTCTCTTCCAAATAAAATGTAAATTCCATGAAGGGAAGAACTTTTCTTTTGTCTTCTTCAATAGTAGGCACTCAATAAATAAATATGTAGTCAATGAACAACTATGTTATGGCCACAAAAAGCAAACAGGGTAAGTACTAGGAGGACCTGACATTTGTACCACTGATTACATTCAGTCAAGCCATACCATAAAGAGACTAAAGTAACCCAGCAATAACCTACCATTATCGCAAAGCTTGGGACCATGATGATGTGTGGAAAGCCTGACGGTCACCTATCCTTCTGCGTTAGTTATACACTCCCAACAGCATCCTCTTCAAGCACACAGGACCTACTTTATCATGGAAGCAGAATTTCAAAACTAGAAAGGCCTGAGAGGTCAAAGAGTCTAACTCTCTGCATAATTCAGCTATATATTAAAGGGCAGAATCCAGACTTTCAGACAAGAATTTTGGGGGTATTTAACTTAAAAAATGATATCTAATATAAAAATATTGTATAAGAAAAATGATGCATTGTTTTGCAATACCAGGTATAAAAAGGTTGGGAAACTCAGCTGTACCCAAATGTTCCAGTCACCTTCACAAATTTCTTAGCCCGTTTTCATTCATTCATCATTTTGAAATTCTAGCTGCTAGTAAGTGCTATCTCACGATATGCTGGAAATTTTCTAAATTTT